TAAAAGTGTAAGCAGGAAGGAGCATAAGACACGTCAAAATTCCTAGTTATTAGAGGTCGACCCCGTACGGCCAAGGGCCTTCACCAAATAGAAGAATTTGACCTTGTCCGAATCAACATTCGGCCTCGTCCGAATCAACCTTCGGTCTCGTCCGAAACAAAATTTGGCCTCGTCCGAATCAACATTCGACCTTGTTCGAACCAAGGCAGGTTAACATTTTGACCAGCTCGAAATAACACCCCTACAGCCAAGGGCCATAGGCAAAAAGAAGAATTTGGCCTCGACCGAATCAACATTCGGCCTCGTCCAAATCAACCTTCGGCCTCGTCCGAATCAACATTCGGCCTCGTCCGAATCAACATTCGGCCTCGTCCGAATCAACCTACGGCCTTGACCGAATCAACCTTTGGCCTCGACCGAATCAACCTTCGGCCTGGACCGAATCAACACTCAGCCTCGACCGAATCAACACTCAGCCTCGACCGAATCAACACTCGGCCTCGACCGAATCAACACTCGGCCTCGTCCGAATCAACATTCGGCCTAGTCCGAATCAACATTTGACCTCGTTCGAACCACGACGGGTTAACATTTCGACCAGCTCAAAATAAGACCCCTACGGCCAAGGGCCATCGCCAAAAAGAAGAATTTGGCCTCGACTAAATCAACATTCGGCCTTAATCAACCTTCAGCCTCGACCGAATCAACCTTCGGCCTCGTCCGAATCAACCTTAGGCCTCGTCCGAATCAACCTTCGGCCTCTTCCGAATCAACACTCGGCCTCGTCCGAATCAACATTCGACCTCGTTCAAACCACAACGAGCTAACATTTCGACTAGCTCGAAATAACACCCCTACGGCCAAGGGCCGTCGCCAAAAATAAGAATTCGGCCTCGTACGAATCAACACTCGGCCTCGTCCGAATCAACCTTCGGCCTCAACCAAATAAACCTTCGGCCTCGTCCGAATCAACATTCAGCCTCGTTCGAACCATGATGTGTTATCATTTCGACCAGCTCGAAATAACACCCCTACGGCTAAGGGTGTCGCCAAAAAGAAGAATTCGGCCTCGATCGAATCAACATTCGGCCTCGTCCGAATCAACCTTCACCCTCGATCGAATCAACCTTAGGCCTCGACCGAATTAACATTCGGCCTCGATCGAATCAACATTCGGCCTCGACCGAATCAACATTCGGCCTCGACCGAATCAACATGCGGCCTCGTCCGAATCCACATTCGGCGACCTTGCCCGAATTCACATTCGGCGACCTCGCCAGAATCAACACTCGGCTCGTCCGAATCAAACTTCGACATCGTCCGAATTCATATTCGGCGACCGTGCCCGAATTCACATTCGGCAAACTCGCCGGAATCAACCTTCGGCCTCGTCCGAATTCACATTCGGCGACCTTGCTCGAATTCACATTCGGTGACCTCGCCGGAATCAACATTCGGCGACCTCACCCGAATTCATATTCGGCGACCTTGCCCGAATTCACATTCGGCAACCTCACCCGAATTTACTTTCAACGACCTCGTCCGAATTCACATTTGGCCTACTCGCTCGTCCAGATCCGAGGACGCGAATGACCTCCGCCGATGCTACCATCCTTGTCAAAGCCGTCATCCCGGCCTCGACGACCTTCCCAACTCTACCGTTTTCTCGATCGACTCATCACTCGAGTCATTGGCCCTGATCGAACTCCGCTAAAGTTCAGCCTGCGGGGATACCACTTTGCTTTAAAGATCGGCAGCCTCAGCCGCGATCCACACTAGTCGACCTCCCCATCCGAATTTCTCGAACTACGATTAATGAAGTCCGCTCACCGAGCTCGACCAAGAGACGACCTTAATAAGCGGAGGTTGTAACTGTATGGGTCAAAATTAGATCAGAGAAATTCGGCACTCAGAGACATAAGGTCGAGGTCGAACAATCATCAATAGCCGAGGTTGGACAGTCATCAATAGCCGAGGTCGGACAGTCATCAATAAGACCGAGGTTGGACAACGATGAAATAGCTAGTTTGCTTTGGAATCCTCAAAGGGATTATTCTACTGAATATTCCCTCTAATTATACTTTTTTAGGATTTTCTATGAATACCCCTTATAAATAGAAAGAGATGATTTCTCAAAAGGGGGGTTGTCTGGCTCTCGCCTCCCTCTCCCTCTCTCTAGAAAATATGTAAACACACTTCTCTGGAGGATCTGTGATCCCATACCTTCATCGGATCCAAAAAGGGTCCTAAGGTTCTTGTATTTGTCTATCATTCGTCTTTATCAAATGAAAGAAGATCCGACTCACTCAAGATTGGGTGAATATTTTCCATTATTTACATTTTATTGCTACTTAATGTTACTTAATGCATCTTTCTTTATGCTATTAAATCTGGCCATAATCACGGCTAATATTTATACTCGGCTATGTCTTTCTATTCATATTATCCATCTCAGATCTAGAGTAAATTATCCCATCATTTTTGATTGATTTGTTTAAAAAGGTTTCAATATCTTTTAAGTGAAACACACCTTACTAGTTTTGTAATAACTAAACCTCATCTTTTTGGGATCAAATCTACGTATGTATGTACAAAAGTGTGTGTATATATATAACACAACATATCATGTGCATTCCCAGTTTACCACATTCAACCACTACAATGCGACGGCTGCACCGAATTTGTGCAGCCAAGCCGGTTACCTTTTTTATTTTTTTATTTTTTAATTCTCATTAGATATCCAGTATCCACATTGGCCTGACTAACTGGATCCGCATAGCGTTAACTCGATCCATGTTAAAAAAGAAATTATCTTATTAGAATATTTTTCATATGCCCGTTGCATATAAGGTTCTGCTGTCTTACACCAACATAACTATTTAATAACCTTTCCCACCATACCGTTGAAAGATTTATTTATTAATTTACTAATTTTATTTATTATAAACAACTAGTGTTAGACCCGCGCGATGTGCGGATAATTTGACGGAATATTAATCTTATAAAATTATGATCTAATATATCATATTATTTTAATAAATATTAATTATTATTTTATTATTTAATATAGTGTACATAAATATAATAAAATCTATAAAAAATCAAAGGTTACAAAGCATTATAGTAAACAAATTAATTATTTATTATTTATTAAATTAGCAAGTACTTAGTACTATACATTTATTAATGTAATTTTTTTTATTAATTTATCAATTGACTAAATATTTTGATACTACTTCTCTTCTAGTAGAACATACATATATATTTTCTTATTCTGGAAATATATATTTTTATATTTATGTTATACTATTTAAAATTATTGATAAGCCTTTTATTATTTTTATAAAAAAATGTACTAATATTTTTACTAATTAATAAAATGTGTTTTATATATAATAAGTTATCTTATGTATAATACCCTAATATTTCTTTATATTTTTGTATTTTTCATTATGAAATTATGAGTTCTATTTATTAACTGAGTTGTCCTACATGAGAAGTTTAATTAGTATATGTATTTTTACGATATCATTTGATTTTGTTTTTTAGTATTATAATACCCTAATGGTTTCTTTATATTTTTGTATTTTTCATTATGAAATTATGAGTTCTATTTATTAACTAAATTGTCCTACATGAGAAGTTTAATTAGTATATGTAGTTTTACGATATCATTTGATTTTATTTTTTTAGTATTTTTCATTTATGACTAATTGTTTATTAAGATTTTAGTTATGTGTATATGTACGAATTTTCTCATAATAATTATAATTATTTTTATAAGTCTTGTATGTGTGTGTGTGTGTATATATATATATATATATATATATATATATATATATATATTTGCTCCTTGGTTATCTAACTGTATTATCCATTTTTTAATATTGTTAAATTGACATATGAATTATTAATAAGTAAAAAATTTAGTATAATAACTACTCCCATATATATATATATATATACACACACTCTCTCTCTACTACTACTACTATATTAGAAAGAAATTACTCTCCAATTTGAATCGGTAGTTTTTTATTTTTTTATTGTAAAATAATTTTAAAACTCCAATTTGAATTACGAGTAGAATATTTTTTTTTGTATTTTCGTTTTTATCATAATTATAAGATATCTATATTTATTAATTAAAGTAGTGTAACCAATTAATTCAAAATTTAAAATTCAAAATAAAGTTAGTTAGAAAAGTAGTTTATTTTGTCTTAACAATGCCACTTGGCTTTTTGTTGTTAAAACACTTGTCTTAATGTAGTGTATTTGCTTCTCCTTCTACTATATTACAAAGAAATTACTCTCCAATTTAAATTGGTAGTTTTTTATTTTTTTATTATAAAATAATTTTAAAACTCCAATTTGAATGAGTAGAATATTGTTTTGTATTTTCGTTTTTTATCATAATTATAAGATATCTATATTTATTAATTAAAGTAGTGTAACCACTTAATTCAAAATTTAAAATTAAAAAAAAGTTAGTTAGAAAAGTAGTTTATTTTGTTTTAACAATGCCACTTGACTTTTTGTTATTAATACACTTGTCTTAATGTAGTGTATTTGCTTCTCCTATTCTATATAGATAGATAGATTATATATAGTTATGTGAGCTGGGAATTTTTCGGAAACAACATCTCTATTTTTATAAATTAATTAGGGGTAAAGTCCGTGTACACTTTATCCTCCCCAAACCCAATTTTGTGGGATTTCAATGAATTTATTATTGTTGGTGTATATATGGTTATGTCTCCGGGTAATTTCATAGAATAACTTTATAATGCCACTATAAAAAATTTGATGGTAGACTTCAACAGAGCATTATATTTAAGACAACAATAGAAGATCATTATATTTATGAAAGCAGTAATGGAGATCACATGATTAAATCCAAGTGGGTCCCTAACTCCCCTCCCACACACCCAACTCCATCAGATCGTACAAACAAACGCCAACTACAGATCTGTTTGATAGTAACAACTTACTTCTGTACGAGTAAGATGTAGAAAGACCTTCTACCTTTCTACTCTCCTTTTACTCTTCTCCCAAACAACCCCTATATATTACCCTTCCCTTCCTTCTCTTTAATAGCCGCATACTACACTTCTCTCTTTCTAAGTAGTTTTACTGTGTGCACACATAACAAAACACATTGTGAAAATGGATCGGAAAAATGCTATTTGGATCGGTTTTATTTGCATTATAATCGCCGGCGTTGGAGGTCAAGCTCCGGCCACGTCACCTAGTGCCACCCCAGCACCACCAACACCCACTACCCCATCTCCTCCTACTACCCCTGCACCTACTGGTTCTCCTCCGCGAACTCAACCACCTCCAGCATCTTCCCCGCCGCCGGCAGTTTCATCTCCGCCACCTACATCAACATCACCACCTCCAGCTGTATCAGCTCCACCACAAGCTACACCTCCACCGGCAGCTACTCCTCCTCCAGTGAGTGCTCCACCACCGGCTAGTCCTCCACCACCAGTTAGCTCTCCACCACCGGCTACTCCTCCACCTGTGGCTACCCCACCACCTCCTGCCACTCCACCTCCCAGCCCACCTCCGCCTGCTGCTGCACCTGCACCAGTTGCAACTCCGCCAGATTCGACTCCGGCTGCTGCACCTACGACTGTAGCCACATCTCCGGCACCATCTCCATTGGGAGTATTGAGTCCTCCAGCACCTCCCATGGGTGCTCCATCCCCGAGTACTCTTCCAGCTTTTTCTCCTGGTCCATCAGTAGCCACTGATCAGGTATTTTTTCACTCAAATCTCGGTTTATAGTATACAAATATATATGTTCTACTCTTGCATTATATATATCCTGTTAATAATATAGCTCTTGATTCTTTTCATTTTTCCTTTCATTTTCTGATTTCATAGCATTATAGGTTGGATCATACTTTTAGTTTTACTACATTATTATATACGTTGTCTTAATCTTTCTGTTTTCATTTTCATTTGTTTTTGCAATATTCCTGTAATAAATATGGGAAGAGATTAATATAATAATATGAAATCAGAGAATAAATATAAATAATCTGATTAAACTCTTTTTATATAATGTTATTATCTTAAGGTGTATGCAAAAGATTAGAGTGATATGTAAAAGGGGAGGAAAGAGTAGTTTATGTTTTAAAATACTTTTAGAACCTATAATTATAAATCTGTTATTGACATTATGGATCATGCCGTAAAGAAATGAGGAGTTTAGAGTTAAATAATTTTTAAATATGTGGTATAATTAATATGGAGCGCATAATAGTCAATAGGTATTCTAACATGGACTAGTTTCTCGGAAAATGTGTATGTGACTGTGAAAGCCCAGCCCAAATTGTCGATATGGGAATTTGGGCCTAGTGGGATCAGGTGTGGTCGGGAACATGTGAGCTTTGTCGACGCTTTAGTCTCTGATTAGTCATCGGAGTTTTTCATATTTTATGATTATTCACTAGGGACATGTCACGTGCTTTTTCTGCTTGGCCATAATGACTCTGCCCCTACCCTGAATATCACTATACTAGACCTGCTCAAGTATTTTTATATAGAAGAAGATATAGGGGTAAGCTGGGTAAATGGAGTGAATAAAGTTCCACATGTGAAAACTGTAAAATTAGAAAATACATTCAATCATCCATAAAAGGTGCTTTAATAACCTGTAAGCAAGTATAGTACGTATTTATAGAACAAATAATTGAAGAGACAGAAAGAATAATATGGTGGGTAGCAAAGTCTATACAGAGAGAATATAAAGTCACATTGAACCCCCAATATCCCTTATTTTGAACTTAGTTGGATTCTTATGCATGTGTCAACTTTTCATGTCCCCAAAAAACTCAAACTCAGATTCATTATTAGATCAGATCTGACGGGGCTTAAAAAACATTTGGGATTATTTTGTAGATTTTGAATTTATTTGGATTCTTATGCATGTGCCAACTTTTTATTATATCAGCACAAAAAACTCGTACTGGCTACAGATATATAATGATCAGATGAGATCTAATAGTGCTTGTTAAAAAAATCTTGGTTTATTTTACATGCCATGAATTATCTTTGAGGTGGATGCTTAAATTCTTCAGATGATATTCTGTTTATAAAATAGCCTCATCTCATGGTAATGCTAAACCAAATTTCACAATCAAATTGAGTTGATGATGTCTGGTTATATATAATTTGGACCTGTTTGTTTGGCCATAGATTTTGTCAAAAAATTTCCAATTTTTTTTTGGCAAATACATGTCTCTCCATAAATTTTATCCATATTTTTGAAAATTCCCAAAACCCAGAGCTGGTTTTGGCCCAAAATATTATTATTACATTTTAGAACTTGTGGGTATAAGTCATGTTTCATGTTTTTTCAAAAAAAAAAAAAAGGGAAATATGTTTTGAAAACCGATGTCCAAACACATTTTCATCTTCAAACCAAATTTCACTCAACTCAGATTTTTCAAAATAAATTTGGTAATCTATGACCAAACGCTAGCAAAGTGGCTTCTTGTGAGCAACATTAACTTTATGTGTTGCCAAAGCACTCTCTAGTCTCTAGCTAGCTATATATGTTCTTTAGTTTAAATTGTTGATGATTACAACAAAGCCTTATCCCTTAGTCTCAAGTAAGTTGGGGTCTGGCAAATATTTGCTAATTTCATTTTCTTATATTTTGATGGATTTTCTAATATGCAGAGTGGAGTGGAGAGCCTGAGGTTTTCGAAGATGATTATGGGAAGCTTGGTCTTGTGCTTGCTGATTTAGAACTCTGTTTTGATCAAACTACTTTTGCCACTATATATGAATTGCCATCTCTTTAGCTTAGGAGGACCGATGATGGCCTATTTTTCTCATTACATGTATTTGCGGATTATACATTCACTTGGATTCTTTTTTGAGATTTCTTGTTGAGGGGAGCCTTTGTATTTTTGGGACGGTTTGTTTCTAAATTTAAACTGCTATTAGCTCTTCATCCATTTCATGTTTTCTTCTTATATATTTCTCATTTAGCTCATCCATGCCTCTGTTTTGTTATAAACAGAAAATGTCAAACCTTAATTAAACCTATAGCTAGGTCACAAAATGAATAAAATCGTTTAAAATCTATACATGCTCGAGCATTGTTATTTTTTTTTCACATATGGATTTGAAAGTTGAATACCCATCATCAATGGAATTTGTGATGTAGAAAATCACGGAGAATGAGATCCAATGATTTAGAGAATTTCCAATTAAGATTTGGAGAGATTCCTTCTTGATTGGAATTGCAATAACCTTTGTTGAAAGGATTTTGTGGATCTTAGCTTTTGTTGCATTAGAGATGTCTTATAAATTGCTCTTTAGAACCCAATATAAATCATTCGAAGTCAATAATAATTCTCTCTTAAGATTTTCTTGCCGCGAGCAAACTTTCTCTAATAAACTATTTCACCTTCTATTTGCCTGATTGTTTTCTTGTTTACTCTTCCTACATCAATTTGTAACCTAGAAATAAGGCAATTACTGACCGTCTGTCAACATGTCAAATTGAATTGACGTAGTGACCTTCTGCAACATGTCAAATTGCATTGACCATGTAAACATTTATTTACACCATCCGTGAATATAACTTCAATCCTGTGATAAATTTTATAGAATTGGGTAACACACATCCTTGGCACCATTTCTAAATTATGTCATATCAATTTATGCATAAAGTTCAGGAAAGTTGGGCAAATGAAGGGAAAATTTTGAAAAAGCAAAAGAAACTGTGCCTTGTAGTAGATTGGTCGATTCGTCGAAATGCTTTAAATGACGGCACTGGCAAATCGTTCGTCTGCCTGCTTTTGTGATATTCACCGTAGTAATTCCCTGCTCTGCGAAGGGTAAAGTTAATTTACTGAAAAGTGAAAACTGCAGGCATCTTGATCTTCGACCAGACGATGATATCTATTGTCCAGGTGAAAAAATCTTTCTGATTGTTTGCCGAAAAACTCATAAAAGTTAAAAACTTTGAATGGCTTATCTTACATTATGAGCAGAAATGTTTGAAAATTACCGGACACTGGGACACCTATGTTTACCTCCAAAACCACTAGCCAGTTTAAGATTGTTCTACCGGAAGAGTAGAGATGGTTTTAGATAGACCCTAGACTAAAGAAAAGATGGAAGAGCACTGATAGGCAAGTACTAACAAGACAAAATATTTAGAAAACTAGTGATAGTAAATTAAGAAAATACTTATATAATCCGAATGAAAAAAAAGTGTTGCTATTAATTTATTTGTGTTGGGTTTACAATTCGGAATAAAATGACATATGACTAATGGGTTATCGAGTCGGATACGGTTTGTTCGATTACTTCGTTTTCTATCACGCAAGGTGCTTTTAAAACCAAAAAGAGTGGTACTTGAATTTGTGTTTAGGAAAAGATTGGTTTGAAAGGTTACTATCTATTTTTTTTTCTTTCTATTCAATCATTCAATTAAATATGTCTGAATATTAATTATTACCGTAAAAATTACACGGGGCGCCCAAACATGTAGTCGCTTTGTCTTTCTATTTGTACCCGTACCCGTTTTTTTTGTTAAAAGCCATTTGAAAAGACTATTTTGTCCTTTATTAAAAGACTACTTTCTCTCCAAGTATACGCTAGTCCTCTACTGTCTCTGTCTCTCTCTCCCGTTATTCACGTTTTTTGATTTGCTCTTCTCTGAAATCAAAGGGTTTTCGTCGTTGTTTCGAATTTTCAACTGCTAGTCGTTGTTGTTTCCACATTACGATTTAATCACAGGTACATTGCATTAACTTTCTGGGTTTTATTTTACGATTTAATTTCGGTTTTGGGTTTGATAGTCATATATTTATGATAGGGTTTAGTTTGATAAGTTCATTAGTTTTACTTTTACGTTTGTATTTTTAGGTTTTTTGAACGAGTGTTTATGTTGTTAATGAAAATTCTATAAATTCATGTGTGATTAGACGTTCAAATTTTTAAAAATTTTCAGAGTTAAACAGATGATAATGATACCTTAGATAGGAGCTGAAGTTTTTTTTTCATGTTTTGGCATTATTTTTGATTTTGAATTTTTGTTTTGTTTTTTTGCTGAATGTTTTGTGCTTTTATGAAGAACTAGAATTAAGTTTTTGTGTTTGTAACTGGTGAATTCCATCTTTAGGAGATGAAGTTTTTTGTGTTTGTAACTGGTGAAGTCCAGCTTTAGGAGATGAAGTTTTTGTGTTTGTTACTGGTGAACTTCAGCTCTAGAGCTGAAGTTTTTGTTTTATACCTGTCGAACTTCAGCTCTAGAGCTGAAGTTTTTTTTTGTAACTTGTCGAACTTTAGCTCTAGAGCTGAAGTTTTTGTTTTATACCTGTCGAACTTCAGCTCTAGAGCTGAAATTTTTGTGTTTGTAACTGGTGAATTCCATCTTTAGGAGCTGAAGTTTTTTGTGTTTGTAACTGGTGAAGTCCAGCTTTAGGAGATGAAGTTTTTGTGTTTGTTACTGGTGAACTTCAGCTCTAAAGCTGAAGTTTTTGTTTTATACCTGTCGAGCTGAAGTTTTTTTTGTAACTGTCGAACTTCAACTCTAGAGCTGGAATTTTTGTTTTATACCTGTCGAACTTCAGCTCTAGAGCTGAAGTTTTTGTTTTATACTTGTCGAACTTAAGCCTTCTTAGGTGTTGAAGTTTTAAATGATCTTTTTGATAATGTCCTGATGTTATTATTTGTATCTTTTACTTTTTTGGACAGATGACTCCTAAAGCACCTAAAGATCCCAAAGTAGCTAAAGAAGGCAAAGCACCTAAAAAACCTAGACTACCTGTAGTAGCACCAGGTCCTTATGTCCCTGGGCCTCTACCTACAGTACCAAGACAAAAATATTTTGAGTTTACGGAATGGTTTAACTCTAAGGGTTACTGGAAAAGGAACCATGATTTGAAGAGTTTAATTGCAAATTTCTTGACTCCTGCACAAAGGGATAAGCTTAATAATGGTGCATTTAGATACATTATTGCTATGGAGAATTTCAAATGCAGCATGAAGTTGGTTCATTGTCTGTGTCTTTCTCGAATATTCACGAATGATCGAGACTCCATTAGTTTCAAGATTTTTGGACATGATGTTTCCTTCACCCTTGAAGACTTTCACATTATGTGTGGTTTGCGAATCACAACACATAATATTGAAAAACCATTTAATCGAGAGAGCACTATTCTGAAGCGCTATCTTGGTAAGTCCAAGGGTATGAGTTTGAAAGATATTCGAAGTTTTATGACTCGCAATGTAATTCCAAAGAATGCTGTGAATCATGCACACGTATGCAAGAGTGATGATGATGTAGTTAATCTTATGGAAATTCTTATTGTAGAGTCTATTCTGTTTGGGAAAAATACCGAGTCATGTGTGATTGAGGAGTATGCATCTATCATTGAAGACGAGAAGCTTTGTGCTGAATATTCTTGGGGTAATGTGGCTTATGAGAAGCCCATTAATTCACTGAAACATGCATTGGACAAGTAGAACAAACATCATGCAACTGAGTATAAACTTACTGGATTTCCAGATGTTCGGGAGAAGTATGTAGCAGAGGATGAGTACCTTGATATGCCTCAATCCCCAGGATGTTACGTTATGTATGCATGGGAGAGCCTAAATATCCCGAACTTTATTATATGTTCAAAACTTATGAAGTAAGTTACTTTTTTTTTATTTTTGTATTTGTGTTAATATGTTGATGTATTAGTTTTTTTCTCCTCATAATATACTGTTTTGTATTAAACAGAGATATCGCGACTTTAGGGTATTGGATATAATTCCTACAGAAGAGGAATTGAATTCAATGCCTTTAATTGGGAAATTAACGTGCAACCGGATTAGTTCAAATGTAGTTAATACAGTTCCTTCAACTAGTAAATCACCATGTACTCTGAGTCGATCAAAAGAATTGAATCGAACTCCTATCATTGGTAAATCACCACCTACAAAGAGTCGATCAAAAGAAGCGAATCAAACTCATGACATTGGTGAATCACCACGTAGTCGGAATCAACCAAAAGAACCGAATCGAACTCCTTTTATTGGCGAAGCATCTCGTACCAAGAGTCGTTCTACCTCATCTACATCTGACTTTGATGACGATGAATTACTTGATACAATATGCTCTGTAAGGTTTGATCTGAAGTTTTTTTGGGTTTGTTTTTGTAAAAGTACAACATGTTTTTTGAGCTGAAATTTTCTTCTATATCTGAATTTTTGTTGTGTATTTATTGTAGAGGTTAACGACGGAGGTTCAAAGGCATGTAGAAAAAGAAAGAAGCACGATCGTGAATGAAGTTTTTGATAGTGAAGGTAAACTAATTTATAGAGAAGTCTTTTTATTTGTGCTGATTTTATTTCAGATTAATCATTGTTAGTAATTTTTTTTTCTAGGAATATTTCGATGAGAAGTTTGAACAGTTGTTTATGATTGTCAACAAATCAAATGGAATGGACGATGGCAATTTTGATTTGAGTAAGCATCGAGAATATGATAGGAGGAACGACTGTTACAAGATCCATCAGCTTTTGAAGGCGATCAACATGTTCAAGAACAAGTTGAAGAGCATAGTTCCAATGCAGATAGATTGAGCAGAGATGTAAATGATGAAGCACATTTATCAACTGAGAATATTGGAAGCAAGCAAGGTGCACATAATCAAGTTGTTGAGACTAAAGAACATACTGCTCATGATGCATTGCGTAAAGTCGCAGATGATAATGCTACACATAATGAAGCGGCTGTTGAAGGCATTGAACATGTTCAACAATAAGGTGGAGAGGAACAATTCAATGTCTGTAGACAAAGTAAAGGTGGAGAGAAAGGTGCAGATGATCAAGTTGTTGGCACTGAAAAACATGCACCGAGTTGTGCTTTGGAAAGTGATATTGGAAATCAAGCACCTGTTGGTACTTTAAATCTAAAAGACGATCGTTATGCAGGAGTAATAGCGATTTGCAATGAACTTCTAGGTGC